AAATGAAAATATTAAAAAGTATTGGACCCTTATTAAGACAGAAAAAATTTTCTGATCTGTCTGAAGATAATCACTATTATTTTCACATATTTTTTTCTTACATAGTTGAGACCTTGTACATATAATTTTATATATTGCTTTCCTTATATATCAGTATATCGTAAATATTTTCTCTATATCACATAAATAAATAAATAAATAGATAAATAAATTGATTACAGAATGCTTCCAGTAGATATTCTTTAAGGGTCCTTTCCCCCATAAAATAGTGAGTTGGACTAGCTACAGGGACCACATTTCTTGAAATTGGATGGGCGATGTTCCAATTTCAAATTATTCTATCAATTTATCAAAACAGATTTCCTTTTTTGTGGGGGAGGGGTAGTTCAGAACATGTGCTTTTTGAAGGAATGAGCACACATGTCGATGAAGATATGCTGTCACCTTTAGGAAAATTGACTGTGATGTATGAGTTGCTTAATTCAGTTTTACTCTATTTACCAGTAACAATGACATCTCATATATGCACAGTGTCCTTTAAGATTTTTTTGCCTTATCTCACTTGATTTTCACAATAACTTTGTGAGGTAAGCAAATAGATGACTTCTTCATGTGCAGGCCAAACACATTGATGTTTAATATAGTGTAAATATTAGCAACAGTTTGTACTCCCCCGAAATCTTGCATTTGTCTAAGAAAACTTTCTCATTTAATATTGAATGAGATTCTTTGTTTAGGAGGATTGAGGTGTCGAAAGACATGGATATGCTGGAACTCTAATGGAGAATTTGTGCTTTGCCCATCTATGTCCATCTGCCTATCCATCCATGGTCTGTGGACTGTAAAGAGGTCACACAGATCATCTGGTAGTACTTGCTTTTAGCCAATTATAGAATCGTATTTGGTTATGAGTTTCTCTTTTCTTGCTCTTCAGGAAGTTTCCCTCAACACTTTTCCCCTTGAACAGAATAAACTCAGGATTGTGATATTTGCAGGACCCTACCAAAATTAGATAGGGAAGGTGGGTAGTCCTGCTCTGTTAAAACACTGAGGAGGGAGAGCTTGCTCCTTTTATGCAACTATCCTATTATGAGCTGGTCTGGGATCCAGAAGGTTGGGTAGGTCAGGCAGGATAAAACGTCCTAATCTTTAAAAGCAAGCAAGCAAACAATCTCTTCCACTCAAACATGGAAATATTCAGAATCAACTCAAAAAGCATGTGGTGAAGATCATAAGTTTTTTTATTGTTTTAAGATGTGTGTGGTGAAGGAGTTGGAAGCTTTCTGTTGGCGCATAAAACCAGTCAAGGTCCAGCCAGTCCAGCCATGATAAGGCTTGAGGAAGACCACCGAAAAGCACGAAGAAGGAGCCTACCATGCTGGGCATACTGTACTCTCCCAGCCTGACATCCAGCTACCCAGAATCTGCAGGGAAGATGATATATATTCCCTTCTTCCATCCTTTTCAAAGCTTTTAGAGAAGTCTTTTTGGCCCTGTTATTTTTTTGGACGGTGTGTGTGCGTGTGTAGGAGTAACAATGGATTTGGCTGGAGAAAGACATCATTCTACACTCCGGTTCTTACTAATTCTCATTTAATTAGAATTTAGTTTTTAAATTATCATAATTTTCTTTTAAAATCAAAGGAATTCCTTTGATTTATAATCTTGCTGAGAACTTACCATTGTCTTGCTATGATTCAAAGAAAAGGGTGAGTAGAAAGGTCCTACCAGAGAGCTCTGGGGCCATTGACTGCTTCTCCTTTCCACCCCAATTAACTATAACAATAAAAACAGCCCTCAAACACCTGTGATCCTTATCAGAAAACTGGACTTTCCATTTCGTACCACACACATGAAATAGAGAAAACAAATTAATTGAAGACATTATTGACTCTGAGTCACATATATTTTCTTAAAAGTTGTATACAGTCATCATAAAACCCAAAGTGTTTTTTTCTTTACAGGCTATGAATGTGGAAAAGGAGTGTGTTGCATGCCCACAGACCTTGGAGCTGGCTGTGCCCTCGGAGCTGGGGATGGGGTGCTTGTGAGGATCCTCTTTCATCCTCTAGATGGCAGCAACATTCTTTTGTGGCCCACTAGTCAATCGCTCTGTAGTGCAGCACAGTTCTATTAAACAGAGAAGCTGCCAAATCATACCCTTTTTAGTCTTTGCACTCAAATTTGTGTAGTACTTTTACATTTACTATTAGTGTGGCTGCCTGACTTAGGGAGTCTACTATTTATTAATAAAATAAATTATTTTCTCTTTCGTATGGAAAAATAATACTTTTGCGTCTCCAAGATCATTCATAAATCTTACCCTGCGTTTCCAGGCATTGGCACTGACATTTGGGGCTGGGCAGTTCTTTGTTGTGGGGCTGTCCTGTGCATTCCAGATGGCTGCTAGCATCTCTGGCCTCTCCCCACTAGGTGCCTGTAGCACTCCTACCTGCCTTTCCCATCTGTGACAAAGATGTCCCTAGACATTGCCAAATGTCCCCTTTGGGGGGCAAAATTGCCCGTTTGAGAACCATTGAAGTAGGTGGCTTTAAGTGTTTCCAGAGATTAGACCGTGTGTGATTTGTACTCATTAAATTTTGCAGGGGTGGGTAAAATCATACCTACTTATAACTTAACTATATTCCACTATTTTGTGTGCTTGCTTGAAAGATGCTTTTTCTGGAGAAGAAAAAATTAAGTAGAAAAGATAAAGGTATAAGTATAGTTGTTACACATCTCACCCTCAAATTAGAAGATTGAGGTTTCAAATTATAGTTTCCTATTAGTTATAACCACAGACATGTGATTCTGATGCTTTTTATCCCTTTTGATTTTAACTAGCCTAGCAGAACGTGAATCATGAAAAGGAGAAAAGCCAAAAATCTTCAGCAAATAAAGAAATTAATAAGAATTACTGAATCTCAAGTTAGAAAGGACTTTAGGGATCACTTGATCGAACTTCTGAATAACTTAAATCTGGCACCTAGGGCTGGGGTGTAGACCAAGTGGAAGGAAGGGTGAGAGCAAACGGATTCCCAGGCCTCAGCCTCTTCTAGATGAGCAAGGGGAAAGCCAGTTTAGAAGTAGAGAGACTTGGTTCTTTTCAAGACAAAACAAAACAAAACAAAACAAAAGCCAGCCCTTCCCCAAAGAAGGCGCTAAGATGGGAGGGTACAGTTTGAGAAGGAGCCCTAAATTAAGCCCTCCAAGAGGGTGAGGGGACCCATGTGTGATAACAAAACTTCTCTTTATATTAAGTAGGGACTTCTTTTTTCCATTTGATTCAACCACTTCACGCATCATTAGGGTAATCCGGGGAGTAAGTGGGAAGAAGAAATGGATGGGAGATCAAAACCCAAACACGGACCAATGCAATAGGTAGCTCTCCCTCACCTGCCCCTTTGGGGTGCCTCCAGTTTCAGAGAAGGGAGAGAATTTTCTGGGCAACCAACCAAACCAGGCTGGACATGGTCCCTACCTTTAAACTGGATGATATGATTTCTAAAATAGAAGGGATTCTTTTTCTGGTGAAGAAGGAGACAAAGGCCAGAAAATAAGGTCCATGTGCATCATCTGGGTCATCGTTAGCAGAGCATGTAACAGCTGTGATGAGTCATGGGATGAAGCGCATGGCATTAAAGGGTTTAATGTTGAGTGAGGCCTGGGGGAGGCACAGTATGGGAGGGTGGAGAGAAATGCCAATTTAAATGTACAGGATATGTTGGTCCTTCAAAGATACAGTCATTTTACTTAAAATTTTCTACACTGTTGGGTCAAACTCTGTCAAGAACACCTGTCTATTGGGGGGTAAGCTATTTCCTACAACCAATTTCTCCTCTCATGAGTCCCATCAAAGACTGATGTCCAAATAGCAGCTCCAGGTCCCAGAGAGAGATCCCTTGGAGAGCTGGAGTCCAGGGAGAGACACGTCTCAGGAAGTCTCCCAGCAGTGACTTGACTTTGTGGCCTTCTCCGAGACACCCAGGTTCTCTCAAGGAGCATCTTGATCTCTGCATTGCAATATGAGTCACAAGGCACATGGTGGGTGCTCTGAGAGGCAGGCAGAGGTCAACAGTGAACTGGGGCAGGGACAGGGATAAACCTTGAGTCCCTAATTCTTGTTCCAGAACTCCAGCAGCCTGGCTTTACTGGGTCCAGCCTGCTTCTGTTCACAGAGCCATCATTTAATTTTTAGTTAGTTATACACCACTTGCTAGCCGTTCATAATTCCTGTGTAGTTTTGCTCAGAACACAGGACACAAAGATAGCGAAACAAGAAGCCCTTATGCTTTCTTCTGCTGTCATCAGTAGGTGGATTTGGCTGGGCAGAGTATGAGCTTACTTTTGCTACACATGGTGGAATTTTTTTTAGGTGCATGAACATTTTTAGGACGAAAATGTATGTGTGCAAAGTAAATGCAGAATGCATTGTGAAGTGTCTAAAATATAGCATTTATCCATCTATTTTGGCAGGGAGCTGGATGAGAATAAGTAGATCAATCATTCAGTCAACAAATAGATGAATAGATACAAATCAGTTACCATTGTTAGAGCTGTTGTTAATCTACACTGAATCATGCAAATTAGAGAGAAGCATTTCTCTGGGCAGAAAAAGCCTGCACCAGGCCACATGACTGCAGTCTCCATCCCCTCTCAGTTAGTTGCCTTTGTGCAGTGTACAAACTGTACAACTGTATATGACTGTACATTGATGTGAGAGCATGGGCCATCAATATGCCCTTCTATTGGAAATTTTCCTGAAGAATTAGGTCTTAAGCAGAGCTTAAAGGAGGCAGCCCTTTCTCTTGGGCATGGCAGATGGGAGGAGGTAGGTTGTTTATTCTGATGGAAAAACTATAAAGACCTGCTGGGCTCTTGTTCTTTAAGCCTTTCCCCCAACAGCTGGGTTAATAACCTTCTTGCCACTGTAGGAACAAACCCAACTGTAGAGAGAAAGGAAAGAAGGATCTGAGAATGCATTGAGTGAATTTCCTCACCTTTCAGCTTCATCATGCTACCCCATGGCTGTCAAGCACAGCTCTTTGTTTTTCTGATTTCTATCATGTCTGCAGAGTTTTCTTGGTGATGGAATTGTGTGCCTGGTTTCCGCCTGCTCCCATCACCAGTCGTTGCCTTCCCCTCCATGGAGTTTTACCTGAACGTGGGCCTGGGGCCCTGGGGCCCCGGGACCGCATGCTGTGATTTTTCTGCTATCATTGGCCTTCCTGACTTTCTGGCAGTGTACATGCCTTCAGGCACCCACCACATTGGCTTCTGACTGCTGGCCTCACCTGTTTGGGTGACATCCTGGCTCAAGTGCTCATTTTGGAGCTACAAATACTATTTATGTTTTTGCCCTATGAATCTATCTCTTGGTTTTAATCTCATCTTTAGAATAATGGCTCTCAAAAGTGACTGCTTATTAGAACTGTCCAGGGAGTTTGTAAAATTTGGATGCCAGGATGCACTCCAGGCCAATGAAATCAGAATCTCTGGGGAACCATCGGGATCAGGATTTTTAAACCTCCAAATTATTCCAACAGGCGGGCATGATGAAGAACCGCTGTTTTAAACTCTATGCACACATCTGTTCATCCTTATGTTAGTCGACCTTTGCTGTATGTGGGCCTCCATGTTCTGACCTGTGGCCTCCCCAGCCTCATGGGCAGGGTTGCATCCCTGGTTCCAGTTTTCCCTGGGATGGCCTGGTCACCACCAGCCAACCTTAGGCTTTGATTATGTTTTGGAGCTGGAAGGCTAAGAGGGATATCTGCAGACCCAAAGTAGGCCTTTTGTGGTTTCATTAGCCTATAATTCTAATAAATGTGACCCATCAGCTTTGTCTTACATAGGAAAGTACATCCTTGTAGGCAGCCCTCATCTGATGAATGTGTTGTGTTCCAGAATTTGTGTGTGGTCAGTTGTTAGGGATGTAGAACTCAAGTGCCATAGTAACACAGTTAGGAAAGAAAGTGGCAGGCCACAATAGTCTCCTGACCTTAAACGGGTGTAACAGGTCCAGGGAATTAAGCCACTATTATTAGGCTGACATTTTTGTTTGTCAGAAGTGGTTGAGTATTGGCAATTTTAAAAGGGCTCAACCTATAATATATTTTGCTATAGGCAGAGGAACAAAGTTTTAAGCACTAGATTGGAATATTTAGAGCACATTCACCCTTATCAGGATTCTAAGAGGATCAGTAGCAGCTTTCTCCCTGGCCTCCCACCCCACTGCTTCAGCCAGCTCAGTGCGGGAAGGAACATGGGCCTTCCGAGGGAGCAGGTACACAGATGAGGAAGGCTCCACTAGGTGCAGACTCCGCCGGGGCTGGGGCAGGCAGTGCTACTGAGAAGCAGAAGGTGGGGCTCCCTCGTCAACAACCATCGGGAGAGTGGCCATTCCCACAGTAGCCATTAAAAAACAGCCTTCCTTAGCGCTGGCTTCTGGGAGTCCGGGAGCAGCTGGGGTTTGGCAGGAACAGGGCAGACTGCAGGCATGGGCCGAAGAGAGACATCAATTCATGTGTCAGCTGAGAGTGTAGGTGAGGCCCGTGAGTTGTCTGCCTTGATGAGTGATGAGTGTATTCTTTGGATGAGTGAAACCACAGGAACCTCTCCCTGCCTGCATTGTCTTAACGACAGAAGCTGTTCATTTAGACAGTGGGTTGCTTTATGAGTCATGAAGTTGCAGTGTGTCCTTTTTACTAAAGCGTCAATGGCTATTTTGTTTTCACAGCTAGGTGTATTCACTTAACACATAGTAGCTACATGGTAAGGGTTGCATGGGAACCAAGCAGTCCTGATTAACTTTCCTGTTTGCGATGAAAAGCCTGAAGACATGAATATATTTCCTCTGGACGGAAATGTAGCAGTTCTCAGAGAAATTTTCATACATTTATATTACCTAGGAAATTGACTACTTTAGAAGAAGGCCATATGTTCATTTAGAAAGTAATGATTTCTATTTCAGTGTTAATTGTGTATGTTATAAAGGAAAACATCATTTTCATTGATGCTTATCCTTTCTCTAATAGTCCAAGTTCCTATCTTGACTTTGCAGAAATTAAAATCCTATTTGTATGCAATATACATTTAATAAAGCAGCTTGAGGTTAATATTACTCCAAATGATTCCTCATCAACAAGGGAAATCTGAGTTCTCCTAGAGTTGGCTATCTGGGGACAACTGAGGATTTACATTCAGAACAGATGACAATGAAAACGGTATAAAAAATGAAAAAGATTTGATTACATGGACTGCAAGGATTACAGAAATTCTTTTTTTTTCTTTTTAGCCAAGCATAAGTAATAACAAAAGAGACCATATATAGGAGACTTCAGAATAGTGTGGGTCATCTCTTTCAAAAAGAATGAATATAGCAGCAAATAAATGATTATAAATTCCATGGACTCTGAAAAATAGGCTGATCTCTTGGCTTTTGCAAGCCATTTCCATAATGCATTTTCCTTCACCAACACATTTTAATGCCATCTGTTGCCTGTTTTCATGCGTGAGGTCAATTCTCAATCACTTTATGCAATTATGCAAATGTGGTTCCTGAAAGGTACAGGACACAGTGATGTTGCTGTCAATCATTTTGGAAAGCCTCCAGTGATAGAGGCTCACTGTAGACTAGTAAAACAGTGTTGTTCTTTCAATTGTTTAATGTAGTTTAGAAGTAAAAGTCTGTAACATCTTTTAGAAACCCCTTTCAAAAGTTTATTTTTAGGATGATCTGGAAAGGTCTTTAATAATTTTTTTTAGTGAGCATTGCTAGTTGGCTATTTCCAGACTGGGGCCCATTTGATTATAGTTCTATTTCTGTACATGAGCCCCAGCAAAACAGAGACACAAACTCTCATTCATGGTGTAATAACCTTCTGCTGAAGCCCCAGTCAAGGGAAGGAATCACGTGGGGTTTTATCACCATCGTTCTTCTATGATTGCGCAGCTTGCACGGCAGTAGACATGGGCTGATCCCCAGTGCAATCCCAGACTTGACAATAGCCAGTACTGCCCTCTAGTATTTGTGTATGCCCGGGGTGAGGTGGGGGCTGGTGCAGAGATAAGAGAAAATGTTTTTTCTCTAGAGCCTAATGAGGAAATTATATGCATCTCCAGAGGAACATAATAAAAATACTCTTACCATTGTGGGTATATAGGCTGTGTTTGGACTGCTCAGAGAACAGAGTGTTTAAGTTAAAAAAGTAAGAGATGCAGCATTAAAAAAATTGAAAAAAAATACCCAGGGTGTATTGAAGGGATAAAAATTCAGTAGGTAAGAATTATTAACAAAATGAACTTCAGACAAATTTATAGGCAGATACCAAAGATAAAGGCCACATTCAAAAGAGCAACAGGACATCACAGACTGTCATAGGACACTTAGAAGATTCAGTTATTCAACTGATACATTTATTGAGTGCCCTGTTTTAAGCACTGTGGGATACAGAGGAATACAATGGTGAACAGGACAGACAAGGTCCCTTGGAGATAACATTCTAATGGAAGGCAGAGAATAAACAAGTAATTCAGTAAATACAATGATTTATGGATAAAGGTGTATGGAAAAATATTTATAATTATTGTAGTTAAGTAATTATTATAGTTAAGATAGTACAATTTCAGGTAATACAAAAGGGCTCTGAAGAATTTAAGACAAGGGGATAGAGCTGGTTGTAGTTAAACAGTGTGAGTTTAGCTAGGATGTTCAAGGAAGTCTTCTCTGAGTAGGTCTCACTGGAGCAGAGGCCTGTTTTGTGAAGGGGGTAGGCTCTGTGAACACCTGGGGGAATGATGCTGCAGGAGGAGAAAGAGCTAGTGTAAGATCCTGAGGCAGGAAAAGGCTGACGTAGCAAGAAGGCCTGCGTGGGTGGATCAGAGTGAGTGAGCGGAGGGCAGGTGCTGAGGCCCAAGCCGTAGGCAGGTCTGGCTCCCTGGGTGTGGTGGTCCATTGGACTGCGTTATGAGTGGGATGGAAATACAGTGAAGCATTTGAACAGGGGTGGATGGCATAATTTGATTCATCTTTAGAAGTTCAGACTGTCTGCCACATCAAGACTAGACTGCAGGGGGAAGGAGACAAAGTGGGGAGACCTGTTGAGCTTCAGCAGCTGTGCAAATGGGAGATGATAGGGGTGTGTACCACAAGGAATGGATGGCTGTGGTAAGACAGTTTGAACTTGAGATGTATTTTGAAGGTAGAGTCAACAGCATTTGCTGATGGATTTGTAAGAGGTGAGAGGAAAAAGGGAACTCAGAATGACTCCTGAGTTTCTGGGCTAAACAATTATGTATAAATGGATTTGGTTTATTGGGAGTGATGTTTTAGGTATGTTAAGTTTGAAATTCCTGCTAGATGCCTGGGTGATACCAAGCAGCTGTTTAAACCAGGAGCTTACAGGAAAAGTTGAACTGGCAGTGTGCATTTTGGGACTGTAAGTTTCATTTAAAGTTGAGTCTGGATGAAATCAATTTGGGGATAATGTAGATTGGGTCCTGGAGCATTCCAAAATTTAGAAGTCATAAGAAGCAGGGGCAAGGAGACTGAAAAACAGTGGCCTGTATCCAAAGTGCAAAGCCCCACAAATGGATGGAGACAGTTGTTTCAAGAATGAGGGGAGGTATCAACTCTGGTCAAATGCTGCATAGGGGAGGAATAAGATGGGGACAGAGATGCATCACTGCATTTGTCCTGGTGGATGGAGGGCTCTGTCTCTGTATATATACATACATACATATACACACACCCAGAAATCAAATGACATTATTAGAGTACTTCCTTTAAACATATTTTTTTTGCAGACTTAAAAAAAACTTACTGAATTGTGGATTGACAATATTAGTTTTTTCAGGATAACTCAGACATTCACATATTCATGGAACACCTCATACATCATATTTCCTGAAACATCAAAGACATTGTGGTGAAATACACATTTTTGTTAGAATTTCATTGCAGTACCTGATGAGTTGAATATGCTTTCATTTATTTTGATTTCTTGTGATAACAG